AGGTACTCCAAGTAACAGACCCAAGGGATCTCCACACCATTCTTGACTGGTTTGGGAGTCTTCTCTTTTTGTAGAAGAATTTTTCCCCTCCTGACTGGAATGAGTCCTAAGTAGGCTGTCTCTTCACAGCTTCTACTTCTCCCATCTCAACCTCAGCTTCCCAGTTAATTCCTGGCTTATTACTCTCACAGGACACCACACACTGTCCATCACACTAGGCTCAGTCTCCTTTCTCTAACTTGTGATATTTTCCTCAAAGTGGATGTTTCTACCCAGAACCAACTCTCTCCCAGGGCCGGATTTAGGTTTGATGAGGCCCTAAACTACTGAATGGGGCCCTTTATATGTCCAGCTGTCCTTTGTCAACAACACATTGTCACTGGTTTTTTTGTGTTGAATATATGCTATATGGTAATATATGGACCTAATAGTTATCAAAAGCCATTTGCCACGGTTGCTGTATGTAGGTTTTATTTTATTTGTTTTTTATCTTATATTTTGGAAATGTCCATCCAGGTTTTTTTCCTTCAATTTTTTTGGGGGGAGGGGCCAAGAGAGTGGGGCCCCTAAGCTATAGCTTGTTTAGCTTATACAGTGGTGCCCCGCAAGACGAATGCCTCGCAAGACGAAAAACTCGCTAGACGAAAGAGTTTTCCGTTTTTTGAGTCGTTCCGCAAGACGAATTTCCCTATGGGCTTGCTTCGCAAGACAAAACGTCTTGCGAGTTCTTGCGAGTTTGTTTCCTTTTTCTTAAAGCCGCTAAGCCGTTAATAGCCGCTAAGCCGTTAATAGCCGCTAAGCCGTTAATAGCCGCTAAGCCGCTAAGCCGCTAATAGCCGCTAAGTCGCTAAGCTGCTAATAGCCGTGCTTCGCAAGACGAAAAAACCGCAAGACGAAGAGACTCGCGGAATGGATTAATTTCGTCTTGCGAGGCACCACTGTATGTAAATCCGGCACTGCTCTCTTCTTTCACTTGTTGACTCAAGCTGCCCAGCAAAAAGAAACTTTTTCATCACAACTCCTTCCTCAGAGTGGTGCATTCTGGGCGACGTGGCCAGGAGATTGGCTTAAACTTGGTTTAAAATGTACACCTGGTTCTTCGGTTAAGACATTTAGCTAAGGCAAAAATGTAAATTAAGCTTCCAGCCGCAGCGGCAAAGTGGTGGCGTTGCAGGCGGTTTCTTGCCCAGAATGCATCACTCTTTGAACCTCCTCCCAACTACCTTCCCCCCCCCCCAAAAAAATTACTACTTCAGTAAAACAGGTTGTGCGACCCCGTGGGAGATAATGTTAACATCTATAGAGCTGGCTCCTTGAGAATTTAATGCACCTTCAACTAATACATTGTGAAACAAGATGGAACACAATCAACACACATCTTTTGCAAATTTCCACTTCAATACTCACCCTCTTTTGAGTTCGTTGCACGACTGAACTAACTGGGTCATTTGCTTTGGGTGGCTAGGGTATTTTCCTCCTTTCTTAAAGTAAATTGGCTTTTATGTAAATAATTTCTAGACCCGCTGCACTGAACTAATTATCTGGGTCATTCAAATTTCTGCTTCTGGAAGTAATTATGGCCTTTGGGAGTGTACTGTATAATACAGGCTTCTGATTGGAGCGGAAGGGAGAGGCCTCCTTATCTGAGTGAACAGTAGGAAGCAAGGTTAGCAAATCTTCCTTATATCCTAAGGGCCCCCGTTTCATGCATAAAACTCCCATGGATCTGAATGGAAATCACACACAAACACACACATAAACCGAGAACTATATGGGGACCTTGTTACCTCCGCACTGTTTCTTCCTGTTTGCAGTCCAGAACTGTTTTCCTTGAGACCGTTTCCAACTGGTTCCTGCCCCATAGGAACCAGAGACAACATGGCAGCCAACCCAGTTCCCGATTAGAGCATGCAGTTGTCATCTGCACAGGGGCGAGGGGTGGAATAATAGAGGTTAGGATGCTCCCATTCTCATGATTCCTCTTTTAATCCATTGCTGTGTTTACGTGCAGCCAGAGTTGTCTTTAAACTATTGTCTAGCATGACAGCTGTTCAGCTGAAAATAAGAAGGAATGCCAAACTATAGTTCTTAAGTATTGTCACAATACTTCACCTAAGCGTAACAATTCATTGTTCCCATTCAGAGGCAGACTCTATTGGATTCAGTAAAGCTATGCTGGTGCTCACCAGATGTTTTGGACTACAATTCCCATCAGCCCCAGCCCTCTTTGCCAGTGGTGATGGGAGCTGTAGTCCAAAACATCTCAAAGGAACCAGCCTGGGAAAACATGCAGTGAAAGGAAGTCTGTAAAGTAAACAGAGAGGAGAGTTTCTCTTCTGCACCAAAAAAAACCTTCAGGTTTTGCTTGGTTCCCCCTGATCTTCTGATCTAACAACAACGGCACTTGCTGCTTAATGAATTGGAATGGATCCCAAGATTGCTCACGACCAGCAGAAGACTTTTATCCGTGTTAATCTTTTATAAACTTTAAACCCAAAATAAACAGCACGACATATCTGAATTTGAGAAAACATTGGCCCCAGCAGTTTCCAAATATGTATATTTAAGAATGCGCTTGGCAAATTTCCCCTGTTCTCTTTTGCACTTTGCTTACATTTTCCTTCCTGTTATTCAGTCCCAAACTCAACTGCTGCTGAATAAAATATTTCTATTACAAAACAGAAGTCCAGCTCGAGCCTGGTCAATGTTCTACCCTCAAATACTAGAACAGCGTTATATGTTCTCCCAATTACCAGGTATGCCTCCGAAGTTAATTGATTTATGAGAAATCTCTGCTAGTGGGCCTCCTATTTCATGCACCAACTCTTTTAATATTCTTAAATGAGCTTTATCTCTCCTCTCCCCACCCCTTCGTTGAAGTGCATTAAGAGCTTAAATGTCTGTAGCTCCACTGCAATAACTTCCACTTTGCCACATTTCGGCGTGTGCGTTTGTTTCAGGCACCTTTTCAGAACCGGCCAATTATGGCTGGTCCCCTTTGGGACTGATGGGTCAGACGGCTGGGAGGCCAGCAGTAGGGGGCGCCAGAGGCAGGGCCATACTTTGGTTGTAAGGAATAAGACAAGGAAGTGGAGGCTGTCTCAGGGCAAACTGGTGAGTTTGGTGGGAGCAGTGCCCCATTTGCCGTAACGGGTCAGCCTCCCCTCTATTAAGCTTCTGTTGTCGTTGCTTGTTGCTTTTTCTGTTATCTCCAAAGATACATATTCTAGTTCCTCATCTGTATTTGCAGCTATTTTGCAGTTTTAGAAATCGTGTACATGTCATTGAAATTTTACTGAATATTGATCCAGAGTAGATTCCAGTGTATAGTTAGCAGAGTAGAAACTGAAATACGTTGTAGGATTCCCCCAAAAAACAGACCAGAGGCAATTGTATGTCATTCAGCAGAGCTTTACTGCTACTGAAGGCAAATGAGCATAATGGTCACAAATCACTATGTACAAGAACACCACACCAAAAGGAAAAGAGAGAGAAAGAGAAAGAGAAAGAGAAAGAGAAACCTAGGCTCCTTCTGGCCTTACTTTTATAGTCAGCATGACCTTGACAGAAGAGATAAGAAAACCAGTTTAAGTCAGCCGTACTCGGCTTCTCTGAAGGAATAACCCAAACATCATGAACCATCTGCTTGTTTCTTTCACGCAGAGAAGCTTCCAGAACCCTCTTGAATTAAGTAGAAGAGGAAAGATCTCTACACATCAGATCTATACTCTGCACTAAGAAATGCAAACTGACAGTACACAATTCCGGATTTCCACATTGTGGTCTGCAAACGGGACATGAAGGCTGGCAGCACCGACCCCGCCATGTGGAAATCCCTTGCAGATGCCCACAGTGACTGGAGACAGCCAGGTCATGCATCAACAGCAACGACCGGAGGAGGAATGACAAGCTAAGAGGAGCTCAGAGAGAAGCAACACCATGGTGCATCTGCAACACAACCAGATGCCTTCATCTGCCCCAGCTGCAACAAAACATATCTCTCCCATATCTCTAGAGCCACAGCAGGGTTTATACCCTTCCAACAGTTTGACTTCACCCCCAAAGTCACACTCCTCCCGAGACAGACAGATGCCAACAACACCACTATGGTCAGAGAGGCCTACACGATGCAAGATGTCCACACAATTCATTCTGATCTGTTATATGATGGCATTTATCATCTGTGAGTGTTTCTTCACTCTCTTGCCTGACCAGTTGTGGAGTTGCCTTGACACAGGGGGCCAATGGGGACCTTTAACATTACCAATGTGAAACGAGTGGCTCCACATCTCAGGTGACCCAACCACATAGGTGAAGGCCAGTCGCATGGGTGACCCAGAAACCATGAGGTGTAGAGGTCAAATGCTTTATCTGATTTCTACAAAAAACTGTGAAGGGGTTCATGATAACGCAAACATTTCCTCTACCCATATTTTAGAGATTATAAACTTGCCGGATGCCCGCCTGTCGCCTGTGAGCCACACGCTCCAGCTTTAATAAATATTTTTGACAGCTCCTGGGAGGAGTTGTCAGTGATGGAACATCGATAAACAGTGCACTCCTGTGAGCGAAATGAAAGGTCAATTTGCCCCGAATGAAAGCTTCACATAGAGCCTAGGGACAGGATAAATTGTGTTATGTTGGCAGGGAAGGGTGTGGGCAGGGAAAGTTCAGAACATGGAGACAGAATCAAAGGATATTGGCGGGGGGGAGAATAATATAAATTGAGATTTGGGCTCTGTGATGCCCTCAGTGGGACGTTAACTCCTCTTTATAAGTTCTGAAAGCTGGTGACTTATCATCTTTCCCCATCCTGCTTAGCCCTGATTTGTCCTCCATCTATCATATTACTTCCATTCCTAAATCCTAATTATATCCTACCACTTTCCCCAACTGGAGCCCATTGCAGTCTCGAAACCTTTTTGTAAATTTTTTTTTATTGATTTTCTTTTCTCATAACAGTATTTATAATCATTACATAACATTCACATTTCAGTTTCCCCCTTCCCTGTTGACCTCCCTCAGCTTCCATCCCTGGTTTATTACATCTCATGTTACATTCTGCTGTTTATATATGGTTCTATATTGTCATACTATTAAGTTTCTTTTTTTTCTTTTTTTTGTAAATAAAATTGTAAATGTTTATTTAAATCCTGCCAATGAGTCCATGGGTTTTTTTGTTGTTGTTTCTGCAAATATAATGTAAAAGGTTCCCATTCTTTTTCAAAGTCACTATTGTCCTTTTCATGCAATTTGTCTGTTAACCTTGCCAGCTCTGCATAGTTCATCAACTTTTCTTGCCATTGTTCTTTTGATGGTATTTCTCCAGCCTTCCAGTTCTGTGCTATCAGAATTCTTGCTGTAGCGTACATAAATAATGTCCATTTTTATTTTGGCAGTTGTCCTAAAATTCCTATCAAGAAAGCTTCTGGTGGAGTCTCAAAAACTTGATCAAGTCATCTCACAGGACTTCACCATCCAATGGAAGCACCCCCTTGAGAACATAGAGCCTAATAATAATAATAATAATAATAATAATAATAATAATTTATTAATTATACCCCGCCCATCTGCCTGAGTTTCCCCAGCCACTCTGGGCGGCTCCCAATCGAGTGTTAAAAACAATACAGCATTAAATATTAAAAACTTCCCTAAACAGGGCTGCCTTCAGGTGTCTTTTAAAGATAAGATAGCTGCTTATTTCCTTCACATCTGAAGGGAGGGCGTTCCACAGAGTGGGCGCCACTACTGAGAAGGCCCTCTGCCTGGTTCCCTGTCACCTCACTTCTCGCAATGAGGGAACCGCCAGAAGGCCCTCGGCGCTGGATCTCAGTGTCCGGGCTGAACGATGGGGGTGAAGACACTCCTTCAAGTATACTGGACCAAGGCTGTTTAGGGCTTTAAAGGTCAGCACCAACACTTTGAATTGTGCTCGGAAACGTACTATGTCAGAACACTGTCATGGTGTGTTTTGACTTCAGAGCTGTGCATTCAGACAAATAATTTCTGAAAGCAGAGGTTGCGGAAACCTCATGAGAAGCCTTTGCCACCGTTCGAGTTTGCATCAAAAGTAATCCCTGAGGTCCAATGGTCTGCCCAGCAACTCTTTGAGGTAGGTTTGGCTGCGAGTAAGTGAGTAGCGGAGAGGGGATCTGAACCCTGATCTTCCAGGTCCTTACCAGTACACCACAATTGGGAGTCAGAATCACCTGCTAATCTGCTGCTAGCCACTCAGGATCCACTAGCAGATTTTGATCTGCGTTCTGCCCACCCCTGACTTAGCGGGTGCAGCAGACACAGCTTCATCCTTCAACACCTGACTGCCCCTGCAATCTTTTGCCACACCTACCTCATTGTGCCCAATGAAAGGGCCGGCCTTGGTTTGCTGCAGTGCACACACACAAATTCCTACCTCCCCATTCTTAGCTGCTCTTAGCTGTTTCTGGGATCACTTCCCTGTCCCCTAGAAGAAATGCCCTCCCTCTGCTGCTGCAGTATTTGCAACATGCTGCCTTCAAATCTGAAAGCCACTAGCTGGCCTGGGACTAGATGCCCCATGCTCCTTTAAGAACCACTAACTAAGAGGTTATCCATACTTACTTTTTGCCCCGCAAAGGGGTTGGACTAGATGAACCCTTCCAACTCCACAATTCTATGATTCTACAATTCATTCCAGGCACAGATCTGTGCTTTTTGCTTCAGGAGCTTTCCCCATGAAAACACACTCAATCATAGCAAACGTCAATTTAGATTTACTGTGGGTTGATGTTTACTCCAATGGAACACTAAAAAACAGGTTTTTGTGGGGGAAAGCTCTGGAGCAGAAGAAAAGGGTGCTTGGGCGTGGAGTTTTAAAGCAAGGATTGGGCCTGGAAAGAGCAGAGGAAACGTGTTATGGATTCAGCGGTCTGTGTTTGCCTAAGCTTGAGTCTGGACTAAGGATTCAGAGCTCTTGTATTCTGATTCGATACATGATATCCAATCACAGAACATTTCAGGATTTGGTGCTCTGCCATTGGCCCTTAAACTCTTGAGTCATGATTCGCAGCTTGGAAGTTTAGACAGCCAGTCACGTTGGGAGTGGGAGTGGCCCAGGCCAAATGCAGTTGCTTTACCCCTGTTGTCCAGTTATGTAGTTCAATAAAGGTTCTTGCTGTTATCACTGTGTCTTGCCCCGTGGGAAACCCACCTACACTTCAAAAGGTAAATGTGGACAAGCCCTTTTACACACATAATTCTGCTTGCTGAGTGGTACCAAACACAACAGATCCAAGCAAGTGTTTTCTCACTGTATAATTTAATGGCTAGGCCGCACGACCATCAGATCAAGGTCAGGTCTGGCAGACGGAACAGATTATATTAATTTATCCTGCATGCATTGAGCTACGGCCATTGCACTGGAAGTCCCCATTTCCATCTCCTTCACACAAATTATTTCTCTTGCTCAGCTGGCGAACTGCACCCTCTTAGACTGCCTCTCTCATTGAAGCACCCTAGAGCCAATCATACAGGGAGGCTTCTCTTATTTCCACATCACATGCTGTAAGCATGGAGGCATGAATTACAAAGGGTTCAATTGATGGAAAAGGAAGGAAATTATTTTTGCCCTTATTGCCTAGCGGGCTTTCTATCTGCAAAACACAGCAAAAAACGATCCCGTGACACAAAGGCTCGACTCATAGCAAGGGACTGGCTTGAGCACACCCCTGTACAAGTCAAGATGAGCCATTGTTGCTACTTGTGCTGTTATTAGCACTTGCCATCTGTGGAACACTTAAAGTTTTAGAGATGATGGAAAGAGAGAGAGAGAGAGAGAGAGAGAGAGAGAGAGAGAGAGAGAGAAGCCGCTCTCAGCTGACTTGCAGTGTAATAGACATGACACAAAATGGGATGGAGACGAAGGAGAAGGAACAGCAAAGCAAGCAAACTCAGATGTCTATTCTCCAAAGCCCTCTTTGCGAAATTCTTTATTTCATTTATGAATCAGTTCCCATGAAGCGATTTGCAACATGACAACATATAAAAACACTTAAAACAATTGCACAGGGGGAAAAAAACACTTTAAAGCAACAACAGCATACATGAAAAAATCAATTCAGGTCCAAGACAGATACCAATAAAGGGATAAAGGTTTCAGAAGGCCTGTTGCAAGAGGAATATCTTTAGCAGACACTGAAAACACAATAGAGAAGTTGCCTGTCTGCTAGGCAGTGGGAGGGAGTTCCAAAGGGTAGGTCTGATTCTGACATGGTGCGGAATGGACCTCCTGATTGGATAGTATGTGTAGAGTGCCCTCTCATGCATAACACAGTGATTGGTTGGGGATGTAGGGGATGTGGCCAATGGAGTTCGCCTTGCAAAAAGGACATGATGACGCGGATTTACCCTCCAACTAATGGAGGAGGAAGGGTCGTGGGTGGCGCTGTGGGTTAAACTACAGAGCCTAGGACTTGCCGATCAGAAGGTCAGCAGTTTGAATCCCCGCGACGGGGTGAGCTCCCGCTGCTCGGTCCCTGCTCCTGCCAACCTAGCTGTTTGAAAGCACATCAAAGTGCAAGTAGATCAATAGGTAAACGGTGTTTCCGTGCACTGCTCTGGTTTGCCAGAAGCGGCTTAGTCATGGTGGCCACATGACCCGGAAGCTGTACGCTGGCTCCCTCGGCCAATAAAGCCAGATGAGCGCCGCAACCCCAGAGTCGGCCATGACTGGACATAATGGTCAGGGGGCCCTTTACCTTTACCTAATGGAGGAGGGGATGTCGTGAGTCTTCTGTGTTTACTGAACTCAGATGCTGAACTCCTGAAGGCTACAGTTAAACTGTCGCTCTTATGATGGCCACCTTGACTGGAGAGAGTTCTGGGAGGAGAGGTGCCAAACGGCAACTGGACTCTCAGGCGATGGGGTGGGCCCCACTTTCTCCCTTTTCTGCAACCAGGTCGGATGATGCAGATGGTGATGGGAGGAGTCAAATGGCAGTAGATGTGAGAAGAGGACCCACACACTGAAATGCAACACCCAAGGTTTGAATTAAACAAGTGGTGTGTGGGTGTGTTGAACCATATTTTTTACTTTTAAAGCCACCTTCTTTACCATGCCAAAACATGGCTGGGAAGAGGGCAGCTCTACTCTACAGAATACTTGTGGGACCAGGCGTTGGGCTCCCCATGCCCCAGCCCATATAAATAAGAGACCAATAAGACTGGTTTGGGGTCAAAACAGGCCACAGCTTTATTGAATACAGATGAAAGAGGTTTGGCTTGGGCGTAAAGGTAAAGGTAAAGGGACCCCTGACAGTTAAGTCCAGTCGCAAACAACTCTGGGGTGGCGGCACTCATCTCGCTTTACAGGCTGAGGGAGCTGGCGTTTGCCCGCTCCGCAGAGTTTTTCCAGGTCGTGTGACCAGCATGACTAAGCCGCTTCTGGCACAATGGAACACCAACACAAGAGCAGCACATGGAAACGCTGTTCCCACCAGAGAGGTACCTATTAATCTACTTGCACTGCTTTCGAACTGCTACGTTGGCAGGAGCAGGGACCGAGCAATGGGAGCTCACCCTGTCGCGGGGATTAGAACCACCAACCTTCTGATCGGCAAGCCCAAGGCTCGGTGGTTTAGACCACAGCACCACCCGCGTTCTTTGGCTTGGGGATGGGGCAATCTAAATACTTCTGTCCCGCCCGCCGGAAGTGACACCTGGATCCCTTTAATGGGATACCCCAGCATTTGGAGGGGCAGGCAGAGACTACAACAACAACAACAACAACAACAACAACAACAACAACAATAAATTTATTATTTATACCCCGCCCATCCGGCTGGGTTTCCCCAGCCACTCTGGGCAGCTTCCAACAAAACACTAAAATACAATAACCTATTAAACTGACTTCAGATGTCTTCTAAAAGTTTGGTAGTTATTTTTCTCTTTGACATCTAGTGGGAGGGTGTTCCACAGGGTGGGCGCCACTACCGAGAAGGCCCTCTGCCTGGTTCCCTGTAACTTGGCTTCTCGCAGTGAGGGAACCGCCAGAAGGCCCACAGCGCTGGACCTCAGTGTCCGGGCAGAACGATGGAGGTGGAGACGCTCCTTCAGGTATTCTGGACCAAGGCCGTTTAGGGCTTTAAAGGTCAGCACCAACACTTTGAATTGTGCTCGGAAATGTACTGGGAGCCAGTGTAGGTCTTTCAAGACAAGTGTTATATGGTCTCGGCGGCCGCTCCCAGTCACCAGACTAGATGCCGCATTCTGGATTAGTTGTAGTTTCCGGGTCACCTTCGAAGGTAGCCCCACATAGAGCGCATTGCAGTAGTCCAAGCGACAGATAACCAGAGCATGCACCACTCTGGTGAGACAGTCTGCAGGCAGATAGGGTCTCAGCCTGCGTACCAGATAGAGCTGATAAACAGCTGCTCTGGACACAACCTTCCCTGCATCCAAAACAAAGGATTGCCCCAATGCCCAACCAGTTGTGACGAGTGCTATGAGGTAGGCAAAACCTCTGGGTCAGTGCCAATTAGCCCGGTGGGCAAATTCCTATCTGGCCCCATAAAGAGCGGCGACCACCGTAGCCACAGCAAAGTCATTGACTATCAGCTTAAACAGAGGGTCGGTGGGCAGGGAAAATCTTGGCAAAGGAACAAACAGGTAGTGCCCCAGGTGTGGGCTGCTCAAATGGGGCGAGGGTCGCCTACATGCTCTGTCGGCTCCACCCCCTGGCACAGCCCAAGTCTGCACCAAAGCAGGGTGCAAGCAAAAATATATAAAATAAAATAAAATTGGGAGGATGCTGAATGAGAAATGACAGTGCTCTAAATCTATCTATAGAACTTTGGGGTTTTTGTGTTGTTGTTTTTTGCCAGGAGCCAGATAGGCAGTTCATTAAATCCACACAATTTGTATGCTTTCATAACAACATAGTTACATGCCCAACACAGGAATCTATCAAATTCTGTTTATAAGGATTATTGATGTATCAGTTGACTATGCAGCCCCAGAGTCAAAACTCTGGCGGATTTTACACCAGTCTTTTAAAATAAAGAGATTCTGGGGAAGTAAGAAGACGCTCGGCTAATGTGAAAATAAATGCATGTCTTGAAAAGTGGTATAAAGAGATATTTTATTTGCAGCCGTTTACCCTGTAAAGACATGAATTCTCAATCTTTGTTGCTGCATAGCATTACACTGGAAATAAAGTGCCTTGTGTGAATGAAAGTAATTGTTTTAAACCAAAATCTAAACTCTCATTTTAAGAAATAAGAGTGTTGCCTGAGAAACAAAGGCGACAACAGATACTGCATTTCACAAACACAGAGAGAGAGAGGGAGGGAGGGATTTGTTTATTATATTTTCTTCCTGGTCAAGTTCATTACCTCCACTGCAATGGGATTTCTCATTTGGATGGTCGTCAGCAAACCGGATAAATTAATCATTCTGTGCCCAGTATTGTCTTCTGAAGGAGAACACCAGCTTTCCAATCACACAGGGTAAGTTGAATAAATGCCCTGTAGGAACTGTGCAAAACCTGAACCTGGAACTAACATTTTTTTCCTGCCTAACTTTATGAAAAAGACCTATCTTTAGGGGCAATCACTCTCTCTATATATATTTTAAAAATGTTTACGGGTGTACCATTGTCTTGTTCTTAATTTGAAAGGGCTGTGTGAAACCAGCCAGGCCTCAAAACTGGCCTGGTCTTGAAGGATTTATTTATTTAATTTATATACCACTTCATACTCCAATACAAATCCCTGAGCGGTTTACAAATCCCAACAGAAAGGAATTAATGTAAGAGATACAAAATGAATTCCCCATTCAAAAGGAAAAAAATGCTGCTACTGGTTGTCGTCATTGCAATTCCACATTTTAAGTAACATAATGAGATAAATCTCTCTGAACAATGTGCATGAGTAAAACAACTAAAAACCAGAAATGCAGATCCGTATTCAAAACATAAAAAATGCATTGATACATCAAAATGCAACGTAATCACAATATAGCATTTGAGAAACTTGTTGATATTGCAAAAAGGAACATATAATGCAGTCACCAAAATCATTCACCTGCATTTACAGCACATGAGGAAAAGAATGTCATTCGAATGTGCTAAGCACCATGCATTACCTGGACCGACCCCTTAAGAATAGCTGTCAACGTTTCCCATTTTTAAAGGGAAATTCCTTTATTCCAAATAGGATTCCTCACTAGAAAAGGGAAAACTTGACAGCTATGCTTAAGATGGAGTGAGCTACGTACACAAGGAAAGAAAGAAAAGGCGAATTTTCCTGCACCCCAATTTAAATGTTACAGCTTCCCCTGGGGTCTCATGGGTTCGCAAAGCCGGTCCCTGATACAGTCATACCTCGGGATGAATACGCTTCAGGTTAAGCATTTTCGGGTTGCACTCCGTGGCGACCCGGAAGTAACGGAACGCATTACTTCCGGGTTTCGCCGCTCGCGCATGCGCAGATGCTCAAAATGACGCCACATGCATGTGCTGAAACAGCAAAGCGCGACCCATGCACGCGCAGTTGCATATTACATTCGCTTCAGGATGCGGACGGGGCTCCGGAACGGTTCCCGTTCGCATCCAGAGGTACCACTGTATTTGAACATTCCCGTTCTTACCCCATCCCTTGGCAGCAGACCTACTGTGCAGTTTAAGGATAACTTGTTTGGCTCTCATCTATAAGGCGATAAGATACAGTGCCATAAATACAGTGTTTTCAGCATCGACGTTTACTGCCAGGCAACCTCTAGCCAGTATTTTATTATTTGTTCCAAAGCCAAGAAGAATGGGCTTCAGATCGTATCTTTGCTTGGTCTTATTGAACATTTCAACTCTGTGCCATCAAGAGATAAATATGATCTTCTATTATCTGAGATTTAGAATGGAAATATGGCCCCCTCTGTAACCTAATGCTTCTCCCACAGTATACCATGATTTTGCCCAGAAGTTCGTCTGAGAGAGCCAAGCTACACATTACACAGCAATTGTCTCTGCCCTTTTTTCAAGCACAACTTTTAAACTCTGTGGAAGGGGAAGCTCCTTTGGGGAAAATATCTGGAGCTAGGAAAATGCAGGCCGAGAAAGGGGCCTACCACTCTCAATCTCTTCCTTTAGAAACACCCTTTCCTGTTCAAAAAGGACACGCCATGTGTTTGCATACAACAGCATTCCCCAACCTGGTGCCCAGATGTTGTTGCATGTCATCTCTCAACATTTCAATCCCTTAGGAAAGGGATTGGAAATAAAACTGCCAATATCCTAAGGTCATAATGCAAATCTACAGTGTGACCACATTTGGGATGCTGCGTACAGTTCTGGTTGCAGTGTTTGGGAGCTTTTCGTTTAGAGAAAATGCAAGTAAGAGGTGACTTGAGAGAAGGGAATAAAAGGGCATGGGGCTTGAAGAAAGCAGACAAAGATAAGTTTTCTCCCTCTCTCATAACACTAAGAATAGTGAACATCCAACAAAGATGAGTGTTGGAAGATTCAGGACAGATGATGATGATGATGATGATGATAACAATATCATTACCTGCTGCCTTGTGGGACATCTTCAGGAGAAGAAAAAGTTTCTACACAAATCCAGAGTGGAGTTGCTAAGATGATTGGATGAGAACTTGTACACCTCCTTCGGGCAATTCCTGCAGCCAAGCTGGTGCCAAATGTATTGCTCTGCTTTCCTTTGGACCACATCAGAAAGGCCGAGGAGAAGAAAAAGAAGGAAGAGGAGGAGGAGGAGGAGGAGGAGGAGGAGGAGTTTGGACTTGATATCCCACCTTTCACTCCCCTTAAGGAGTCTCAAAGCAGCTAACAATCTCCTTTCCCTTCCTCCCCCACAACAAACACTCTGGGAGGTGAGTGAGGCTGAGAGACTTCAGAGAAGTGTCCCTAGCCCAGCAGCTGCATGTGGAGGAGCGGGGAAGCGAACCTGGTTCAACAGATTACGAGTCTACCGCTCTTAACCACTACACCACGCTGAAGGGGGGGGGTCTTGTTGTCTAGCAAGCCCAGGACCTCCAAACACACTGCCCAGGCTTGCACCCCAGAGAGGCCACTTTGGTGCTGCTAAAACAATGCAGGAGGCAGCCACTTCAGCCACAGCAGGTGCTGTGATTCTCCAGCGGTTTGACCGCCGGAGGCACACTCCATCGTCTCTCGAGACAGACGGATGCCAACAATAATAATAGATTTATTTATACTCCGCCTCCCCACCCCTCATGGGACTCGAGATAACAGAGATAACAGAAAGTATTTCTGAATGCAGAGCATAGTTAAACTCACTTTCACAGGAACGGCTGCCAACTTTAAAAGAGAATTAGATACATTCACGGAGAATAGCATATTAACTGTATGTTTCTAAATACCAGTTTGCTGAGAATCAAGGAAGACGAGACTGCTCTTGTGCTTGGGTCCTACGTGAAGGGTTGTTGTGAATATAAAGAGAGAAAGAGGAAACCAACCATTTGACCAACCCCCTTGAGGAGGAAGAGCAGAACAGGAATGGAATAAATGGGTTTATACCGAAGCTGTTTTAGGTGCACGCCTAAAAATGCAAAGAGTAAATATGAAAAATGCACCTGTAAACCTATGTATCGTCCAGGTGGCCTTATCAGGGAGGGAGCAGCAGTTGGTTGTACAGTGGTACCTCGGGTTAAGAACTTAATTCGTTCTGGAGGTCTGTTCTTAACCTGAAACTGTTCTTAACCTGAAGCACCACTTTAGCTAATGGGGCCTCCTGCTGCTGCCACGCTGCCGGAGCACGATTTCTGTTCTCACCCTGAAGCAAAGTTCTTAACCCGAGGTACTATTTTTGGGTTAACGGAGTCTGTAACCTGAAGCATATTTAACCTGAAGCGTATGTAACCTGAGGTACCACTGTACCTGATTGCTGAACGCCCATTCCACAAGAAGCCTAAGATTGCCTCTGTGTCGTGTGTGGAATAGCTCAAATGGTTCCAGTCATAACCCCGATAATTAATAATGCCTTTTATTCAAATTGAAGAAGAGAGGGGCGCATAAAGGTGAGAAGAGATTGTCTTGTTTTGGAAGAGGAGGACATTTCAAAAGCAAACTCCATGATTATCCAGGCATTAAATAACCTGGTATAATTTCTCTGTGTGCTCTGCTCTTTCTCTCCCGTTAATTCCTCCTGAAGTTTATAGCGATCGCTCATTTCTCTGGCAACATGAAACAGATGATAACAGAACTCCCCTTTTGTATTGGGTTTTGCTTTGGCTCTCTATCTAGCCTTTGCTGGAAGACCAGGAAAAGTCAGGAGAGGGGGAAAACTGCTGTCTTCCCCCATGGTGCTCAGTGCTAAAGTAGCAAGAGTGCTTCTGAACCCTGTTCCTTCTCCCTATGTGCTTTAAAGGGGTAATTAAGTGGATTTATGCTCGCCAGGAAAAATTCAGAAAGTGCAGGGAGTTGGGTGTGTGTATGTGAAGAGAGAGCATATTGAAACAAGCACACTTATCTGCCTAATCCTGTTACTCATAATCTGGAAAGCACTGGATTTTGTGGATTGAGAAATGATTTGAGGAGGCTGGGAATGGGATTTGACTTTTTTGTTTGTTTGTTTGTTTGTTTGTTTGTTTGTTTGTTTGTTTCCTTGAGGTGCATTAAATGACTGAGATGTCCGCTACTGTTTAGATGACCTTTCATGAGTAGAGTGCAACTCGGGTGCAAATTTACAGCTATCTTTTCATCTCACTTTGGAAAATAAGGAGACTGGTGTTAATTACAACCCATAGTATTCCCCTGGTGTCAACTAGTTATGTTGATGATAGACTGCTATCTGCAGTTCATAGCTTGGGGGTAGTCCTGGATCCTTTGCTGTCGCTCAAGGCTCAGGTGGCCTCAGTGGCCCGGAGTGCCTTCCATCAGCTTTGGCTGGTGGCCCACGCTACGCCCCTATCTGGACAGGGATAGTCGAACTACTACTCTGTGCTCTGGTAACCTCAAGGTTAGATTACTGCAATGCGTTATACGTAGGGTTTGGAAACTTCAGCTAGGGCAGAATTCAGCGGCCAGGCTGCTCACTGGAGCAATACAATTTGAGCATATTACAGTCGTACCTCGGAAGTCGAACAGAATCCATTCCCGAAGTCCATTCAACTTCCAAAACATTCGGATACCAAGGCACAGCTTCCAATTGGCTGCAGGAAGCTCCTGCAGCCAATCGGAAGCCACAACAGACGTCCGGGTTCCAAAGAACGTTCGCAAACCAGAACAATCACTTCTGGGTTCGGGAGCCAAAACGTTTGTCTCGCAAGGCGTTCGACTTCAGATGTATGACTGTACATCGATCCTGGTCCGACTGCACTGGCTACCAGTTAGTTTCTGGGCCCAATTCACAGTGCTGGTTTTGACCTATAAAGCCTTAAATGGCCCAGGACCGCAATAGCTCAAGGCCTGCCTCTTTCCATATGAACCTACCCGGACCCTGAGATCATCTTCTGAGGCCCTTCTTTGTGTGCCTCCTCCTCAAGAGGTCCAGAGGGTGGCAACACGAGAACGGGGCCTTCTCTGCAGTGACTCCCCATCTGTGGAATGCTCTCCCCAGTGAAGTTTGCCTGGCGCCTTCATTATACACCTTTAGGTGCCAGACAAAAACGTCCTTTTTAACCAGGCGTTTGGTTGATCCGATTTACATCCTATGCCCTTTTAAAACACGTTTTTTTGGGGGAGCTATTGGGTTGTTGTTGTTGTTTGTTTAATGTATTTTGTGGTTTTATATCTTTATTTTATTCTGTGAACTGCCGTGAGACCCCCAGGTATAGGGTGGTATATTAATAATAATTAATAATAATAATAATAATAACAACAACAACAACAACCTGCCCAGCTAGGTGGATGGGTCTAAGGCCTCTAGCTTTTGGGTCTCCAGCTTTGGAACTACAATTCCCATCATCCCTGACCACTAGTCCTGCTAGCTAGGGATGATGGGAGTTGTAATCCAAAAACAGTTGAGAACCTAGGTTTGGGAAACAAAGCATTATATTGAGGCAGACCTACCGGTCAGTCTAGCTCATATTGCATGCAATGGCTGGCAGTGATTCTTCAAGTTCTCATGTAGGAGTTTCTCCCAGCCCTACCTGAAGTGTCAGGGGTTGAACTAGAGACCTTCTGCAGGCAAGACAGATGATCTACCACTGAGCTATGGCAGCTTTGGGGCCTTTGTGCCCTTGTATTAATGGGCTAGGCTCAAACTTAAATGACCTTATAGAGAAATTCATGGAGGTTAAGTGTAGGGGCACCATTCATTAGGGGTAAAACTATCACTCCATAGACTGTCTTCTGGCAGGGAAGTACATTTTGCTATAACAGAGGAGGGAAGAAAAGGGATGCAGAGCAGTAACTTTTGGCACAATCTCCCCTTGCAGCTGCTCATTGGGAGAAACTGTAATACAGTAAAGAACTTGTACCTGAGTTTGCTTATTTCCTCCTCCCCTCCAATCCATGTTCCTTTCATGCCGTGACTTTTTAGATTCTAAACCTGAGAGCAGGAACTGTATTTTTTTTTTCTATTTAAGGATCTGTAAACCAGCCTGGGGGGATGCGGGTGGCGTTGTGGTCTAAACCACAGAGCCTAGGGCTTGCCGATCAGAAGATCAGTGGTTCGAATCCCCACGACAGGGTGAGCTCCCGTTGCTTGGTCCCAGCTTCTGCCCACCTAGAAGTTCAAAAGCACGTCAAAATGCAAGTAGATAAATAGGTACTGCTCCGGCGGTAAGGTAAATGGCATTTCCGTGTGCTGCTCTGGTTCGCCAGAAACGGCTTAGTCATGCTGGCCACAAGACCCGGAAGCTGTACACCAGCTCCCTCGGCCAGTAAAGCGAGATGAGCGCCGCAACTCCAGTGTCGGCCGCGACTGGACCAAACGGTCAGGGGTCCCTTTACCTTTAAACCAACCTGGGAGCCTTCCCCTGTACCCATTGTTCCTATCAGTTTCCAAGCTGCAACTTTTTATTTTATTTTTTCAAAAGGTGGGTTTGTTGGGCAAAGATGGTGTTCTTTAATCCGATTTTAAAATGCAAATCTAAAGTTCTGGGACGCGCTTGGATCCTTCCTGCAAAATACGGAGTCTGGAGGCATTTTTCAAAGGACTAGGTGTGCTTCTGAAAGCGGAATAGCTCCTGCAATCAAGAGTTCACTGCAAATAATTGCGGTACCTTTTCTTCCTCTTGTTTCCAGCTGCAGTCAGAAAAATGCGGCTCAGAATTAGGGCACAAGAAAGGGCCTCCCCCCTTCCTTCTTCTATGTCCTCCTTCCCTCTCCTGAATTCTGCTGGGAGCCAGCTGCTCTTGCTCCATTAGGTTTAACACCTCCAAACCCAGCCCACGCTATCAGCACTCACATGTTCTCCCCTGTAATAATAGGGCTGGGGATTGGGGAAGAGAAGAAAGCAGGGCTGCTGAAACCTGGGAGCTCCTTCTCTCTCTCCTCCCCCCCCCCCACTTCCCACATAGTAACTGTTGTGAGAAGAAGTACTCACCACCTATCAGCCTGTGCAGGATGAAAGGAAACATCCCAGGTTCTTTATCACAGTGGAAAGGAGGGGACAGAGATGGTTTTCTAATGGTTTGATTTCACAGGCTTTTGTGCCGCTTAAGTACTATTCAACTTCTTCCAAATCTCCAGAGGGGGAGTTTCCATGTGGCCAGGCAGGTCTATTTTTATCAGCTCAGCCAGATCATACAAAAAAAAGGCCCTATCTGACCAGATATCTAGCTAAACCCTGGCAGAGATGCAAACAATAGGTTACTTCTTCCACTCCCAAGATTACACACAAAAATAAAATAATACGCGTTGCTTTCATCCCATACATTCAGAAGCAACCACTACACTTATCTCTTTCTTTCTCGACTTTCAGGGGCTATCGCGTCTTCTTAATAAGGATTTGCACCTGGGAATTGCAAGCGTCAGCCGCAGATACAACTTCTTTCTGATAGTGAAGAAACAATTTCGGTTGCAGCTTAGGAACACGGGAAACTGCCTTGTATTCGGTCAAACCACCTGTCCATTCAGTTCAATACTGTCAACAGTGACAGGCATCGGCAGGAGTCTGGAGATATTGGAGACTGACGCCAGATACCGAGGTTTGATCAGGATGAGGAGGGGAAAGAGATGCTGAAGAAATCAATGTGGAAACCTTTCTGCGATCTACTGGCATAATCCTTGGATATGGGGTGGCCGTGTTCAGAGGAAAGCTCACCTCCACATTAGCAAGCTTTCTCACTGAGAACCTTTGATTAGGTGCAAGGGTAATTATAGTGAATTAACTTGGTGGTGACATTTTGAAAATAATGCGCTATGCACACAGCATCACTGGTGAGTTCTCACAGGATTCTTAGCGCTGGAGAAAGAAACTGGACTTTTCTCTCTCTCCCAGAAAAGCATATGTGCATTTAACAGTCTCCGCACAGAAAGGTTCATTGGAACCACACGAGAAGCAAATATTAAGCTACATGCCACTCAAATGGAAGGAGTTCAGATAAAAGCCAAATTAAGCCAATAAAACACAATTAAGATGCAGGAAAGAGAATTCCTCTTTGGAGTGGACATATCCTGCGACGCCAGATTTATTAGAGGATCTGGCGTGGGCTTGGCAAACCACACTGCCCAAAGGAAACAAAATCAACCACAACATCAAAGCCGTCAAACTGACCTGAACAACAATAAAAGACCCAGTCATAGGGAGGTGATGTGCATTGTTCCCAACATAGGAGCCTACTCCTAGGGGCCAAGGTCCCTTCGCCCCCCCCCATTACATATTTGAGGGAACTGTCCTCGTCCCCCCAGTTGATGGGAATTGCCATTCAAATGGGGGGGGGGTGCCACATCTTGCAATCGATTATGTGGAGTGGGACTTGTCTGGACCCTCCCAATATTTTATTTAAGTTGGCACCCCTGGCTCCCAATGAGCAGGAGGAAGTGACAGTTCCCTAAACCACTTCCTAATCAGGACTGTACTAGTATAAAACATTTTCCCCAGAAGAAGAAATCTTCCCGGGCAATGAAGCGCATATGAAATCCACACTGTGACTTTCCCAGTTGTTGGAAGCAAGTTGTTGCAAGCTTACTGTCTGCATGTGAAACATGGACCACTTATAAACATCATCTCCAACTCCTTGAAAGATTCTATCAATGGTGTCTCCATTAAATAAGCATTGTCCTCGAAATATATATTAAAAATAAATAAATTGTCCTGTAGCACCTTAGAGACCAACTAAGTTTGTTCTTGGTATGAGCTTTCGTGTGCATGCACACTTCTTCAGATACACACAATACACACATGCACACGAAAGCTCATATCAAGAACAAACTTAGTTGGTCTCTTAAGGTGCCACTGGACAATTTTTAAAAAATTTTAAATATATTTCGACTGCATCAGACCAACATGGATACCTACCTGAATCTACTACCTGTACAATGTTTTTTTTAGGTGCCTTTCAGCAATTAAACTCAACAATTAACAAAAGCTAATATTGTTTTAAGTTGGCTTTAACACTTTGGAGTTAGCTTCATCATCACGTAAGTGCTATCCAGACACCAATTAACACCTGGCTGATTGGGATCCTCACTGAGTTATCCAGAGTGTTGAGTCATTCCCATATACAAAATGCATCACTAGGGTTGGAATAAAATTTAAACGTTTGCCATTGTGTTTGCCTTTATAGCACAGACCTGCACTCATACCACGTTAACAGTCATAGATAATACTACCCGCTCACAACATAAAGAGCTCATAACCCACCTACTCTCAGCAGCCAGAAACATCATGGCCAGACATTGGAGAGACCAGTCAGGAGTAAGCATGGACCAATGGTATCAGACAGTATGGGTGTTGCGGAAAAATTTAGGTGCGAGGCTGCTCAGTCGCCCAGCTCATCGGGCAGAGCCCACGGTCCCTGTGGAATAAAGGAAGGAGTCCAGCCACCAACTGGAGCAAATAGCTGTAGACCAAAGTTTATTGCACAACAGGTTCAAAGAGGAATTTTGAACCCCGAGGATGGGGTGACAAGGACTTTTAAAACTTTCCCACCATATCCCAGAATACAGTTCGTACAGCATCATTGCTACATCACTTACATGTCACAAAAGGGGAGGAGTAGACAGGGGTTATACTAGTTTAACCTTGGCAAACATGTCCAGACAAGTCCTTGGTACAAGATTAGCATAAGCAGACATGTCAGGGCAAGACCCAGGTATAAGATTAGCATAGGCAAACATCTCTAAAGTCCCACCACCCAAAGTACAATAGAACTTCCTTTGCATGTCTGGACCCCTTGGCAAGTCTGGGGATGAGATTGGGCTTTCCTTGGCCAACAATCAGCTCAGCAATTGTCACCTCTGGGCACTTCCTGGGGTAGGAGGCGTGTATACATGTCCGCAGGCTTGAGGAGGTGGCAGGGGAAAGAGTCATTTTTTCCAAGGTCAAAATAGTGTTGAAATGGAGGAAACTGCCCAAGGAGTTGATTTTATATTATTGTTAAAGCTCGGTAACTTCCCTGAGCTGTTAAGTCGAAAGGATACATTTATGCATAATATTTGTAACATTTAACAACTTTAAAGATGTGCCCCCCCCCATAATTTCCGTAACAATGGGAAACAGCCTTATTAGAAAAACTAACTGAAACTTACACAGGGACACATAGAAGAAGATGCCTTCACTGGCAATTGTTAAAACCATAGTGTCTTGGACCCAGGGGAAGAGCTGACGTCTTAGGCATTCTGTGTGCTTTTCTTACAAAGAGATGGGTTTCACGATTGAATCCTCCACTGGAGTCAACTCCAGGGGGCCTGTGGGTACTTTGGCACCCACAATAATATATTTGTGGGGGCTGGGGCCCTCAAAGTCAATGGGCAAAGTTGAAGGCCTTCACTGTGAGCAGCCACAATCTTCGGCAGCTACGGAATCCTCTATTCATAGGTCAACCTGCCTCGCCGAAACCTTGTGTCCTCGTAAAGTTGTAAGGACCTGTCAGAAAATAAAAAAGATGGAGACATCTGTATACAGGGCAATAAAGAAGCAGTTTACGGTGCTTCCCAGCATTAAGCCTTTTACCGAAAACAAGACATGCCATCTCTGTGAATTAGCTGCAGCACTTGGCATCGACTGTGTTAGTTTAAAGGTTTGCATCGAATCGTTAACCTTTATTATTATCAAGATCCCCATTGCAGGTGGTGTTAGACATACCTCATGCCACACCAGCTAATTAAGCCTGATAATACAGTTTTGCCAGGCAGGTCAAGAAATTATTTCCCCCAACAGTCTCTCTCATTACATTCAGGATTTCCAGTTCTGTTTCAATTTGGAAATAGATAATGCGGTCTTAAAATGTGTCTCCTCATAACAAGCAGATATGCTGATCTGGAGAGAAGGTAGCAGCAAAACCAGTGAGACCTCGAGAGTGGGCAGTTTCTCTTTTCGGCTTCGGAGCTGAAACCCAGAACCCTGATCGAGATTCTTCAAAGCACCACACTGTACCATTGTGTATAAAGCACATAAATTCATTCTTCCACTTTGGTTTTAGCAATTACTTCCCTCCCAATGACATCTCAGCTTATAAAATCAGGATATGAATACATTTTGTCACATAGAGACCCATCAGTACTGTGGAAATGTAGCTAGATTTTGTGCAATAGCCGTAAGTCAAAGAAAGCAAAAGATTATACAGCGCCACAAACCAGTCATAAATTGAGACAGCTCACAGTCAAATTCCTCTATTATTATTTTTTTTAAAAACTTTTAATGGGATCCATATTTCCTTGGACACCTATTTTAAACCTATTTCATTAGTATATTGATTGTTAAATTCCACTTTGACTGTTTTAATGTTTATGTAAAAATTAACCTGAAATTCTGGTTATTACTATGCTGGCTGTTTAGCCATAATAATAAACATTCATTCATTCATTCCGCCCTGTAGATGTAAAATAATGGAGACAATGCCTCAGACCTCATGTCTGGAGACTTCATACAGCTTCACTCCGATTGGAGAATGTTAGCCATATGAAAGTATTCCTGCCCACTGGTGTGCACTGAGATCAGGCAACTTGGAAGCACATCTACCCATGCAGATGGGTACGGCAAATGTGCAAATAAAAAGGTAAAGGGACCCCTGACCATTAGGTCCAGTCGTGGCCGACTCTGGGGTTGCGGCGCTCATCTCGCTTTATTGGCCAAGGGAGCCGGCGTACAGCTTCTGGGTCATGTGGCCAGCATGACTAAGCCGCTTCGGGCGAACCAGAGCAGCGCACGGGAATGCTGTTTACCTTCCCGCTGGAGTAGTACCTGTTTATCTATTTGCACGTCATGCTTTCAAACTGCTAGGGTGGCAGGAGCAGGGACCGAGCAACGGGAGCCCATCGCGGAGATTCAAACCACCGACCTTCAAATAGATAAATAAAATAAAAATGTGGTTTGAAACACAGTGGAGGCAAACCATCTTGCTGTGCTTTTTATTTTTATTATTTGTATACTTTATTTATGATTTTCAATTTTATACATTTCAATCATTTTTCAATCATTTTAGCATATCAAAACTCAACTTCCTTCCCCCTCGTTCTGCAGTTCCTTCAATTTATTTTTAATATTTTCTGCATGTCCAAATTAACTTAATTTGCTCATTCATTCATCTACTTTAAATATATACTCTTGCAAATCTGCAGGTTATTACAATAATCCTGCCAATGTTCTTATCTGTTTACAGTTTGTTTGTAAATATTCCATTATAGACCATTTCCATTCTTTTATAAAAAGTTTGTTATCTCGATTTCTTACTTTCCCGGTAAGTTTCACCATTTCTACATATTCATAGCTGTCAACTTTTCCTTTTTTTAAAGGGAAATGCCCTTATTCCAAATAGGATTCCTCGCAAGCTATTTACATATTCCATAATTTTGTATCCATTCTTCTTTTGCTGGGACTTCTTTCCATTTTTGCTGTGTTTTAAGCCCATATCGCGTACACAACCTCCATTAAAATGGCATGCGGAGAATGCTATAAAATCTATGCTTCCCTGAAAGAAATTATGCCAGAGAGTATGGGATCTGCAGTTTCCCCTGCCTCCCAATTCAATCCAGGGAGCAGGGGAAATTACAATTCCCATGGTAAGAAAATATTTCTAAGTGTGCTGAGGAACTGGAAGACAAGAGAGGCACCAGATACAGTGGTACCTCAGGTTAAGTATTTAATTCGTTCCGGAGGTCTGTTCTTAACTTGAAACTGTTCTTAACCTGAAGCACCACTTTAGCTAATGGGGCCTCCTGCTGCCGCCGTGCCACCGGAGCACGATTTCTGTTCTCATCCTGAAGCAAAGTTCTTAACCTGAAGCACTATTTCTGGGTTAGCGGAGTCTGTAACCTGAAGCGTATGTAACCTGAAGCGTATGTAACCCGAGGTACCACTGTATGGCTTTTCCAGGCTTCCCTGGGAATATTAAGGGGGCGGGACACCCATCAAGGAACAGGATACAAAAGTATAAAAAATGGACAGAAATCCCAATTGGTTTGTTGAGACAAGCCATTTGCCTAATGTCTATAAACCTGTGGGTTTATCCACACTTTTGCCCTGCTATTTCCAGGAACCTGTGCCTTAATATTCCATGTCTGAGTGTGGGGCTTTTCCTTTTCTTTTGCCCCAAGCTTTCCCCATGAAAACCCATTCTTTAAAGCCAAATCAGAACAAACATCAATTCGGATTTTCCACGGATTGACATTTGCTCCGATTGAGCTTTAAAGAGTGTTTTTAGCGAGGAAAGCTCTGGAACAACGACAGAAAGGAGTGGCGCTCAGAGAAGGAACTTTAAGTCGTTGACCATGCCTGGAAAGAGCAGAGCAAAGGTAAGTGTGAGTAAGCCCTATATCTTACAGCTCTTTACATGGGATCTTTCTTCTGGCTGTATTCACTATGCCATACAAAAATAGGAAGAGGCGTGGCCTGTTCAATTGGGGATTTCCTGACATGTATAAAACACACACTTCCTTGCAGTCATCACGATGTTTGCAACCAAACCGAACTACCGTATTTTTCGCTCTATAGGACGCACCCGACGATAGGACACACCTTGTTTTAGAGGGGGAGAACAAGAAAAAAAAATTCAACGCCTCTCTGCTCAGCGCCCCTTCAGAGAAGTGGCAGGAGAAACGGAGCCCCTTCCATTTCTCCTCCCGCTTGGCTGAAGGGGCGCTGTGCAGCTCTCCCTCTCTGCTGAAGCCGGGAGAGTCTTGCTCTCCCGGCTTCAGCAAAAGGAACCCGAAGCCTTTGGAGCACAGCGCGAGTTCCCGCTGCGCTCCAAAGGCTTCAGGCAGCTATCCCTATCAGTGCGC